GCAGAATGTTCTGGAAAAAGTCTGCTAATAGAGAAGAGGCACTAAATTTATCTAGGATATATTAGCTAAAATAACCAATAAAGAAATTGAATCACAAATATAGCAAATAATGACAAAACAGATTAAGAAAAAACTTATTACAGAAAAAGAAGCCATAGCACAAATAAGAGAGCTCTGTGAAGAATTATACCAGTATATACAGGTTCAATAAATACATAAAGGATACATAATGGAAACCCTTTATCATTCCGATATCTACTCTTTATGTATCCACTTTTAACCTGGTTTGCTGTGGTTATTTGGCGGATCTATAGTAACATAAAAGATGAATACCAGTACAACATAAAAGATAAATATTAGATAAATAAAGGGTATCTATTAATATTCTGATATCGATCCTTTATTTGATAATTATATATCTGTTTTGCTGCATCTATTTGAAATATAAAAGCTAAATATCGGTAAATCCAAAATAGCAATTAGCTAAATAAAGGTACCTACTTATCTTCTGATATCTACCCTTGATGTATCCACTTTTAATCTGGTTTGCTGTGATTATTTGCCAGATCTATCATAATATAAAAAATGAATACCAGTACAACATAAAAGATAAATATTAAATAAATAAAGGGTATCTATTAATATCCCGATATTGATCTTTTATTTGATAATTATATATCTGGTTGCTACACGTGTTTAGCAGATCTATAGCAGTATGAAAGCTAAATATTAGGAGTATGAAAATGAATATTCTTTTATTATCCCGATATTGATATTTTATATAAAAATTATGTATCCATTTTGCTATCAATATTAGTGACTATAGTAATATAAAAGGTAAATAATGGTATATGAAAAGACAAATATCGGTTAACTAAAAGATTCTTTTAATATCTCGATATTTATCTGTTTTGCTGCAGGTTATAGCAAAATAAAAGGTGAAAACCAGTATATATAAAGACAAATAGAGTAAACTAAAGAGATTTCTTTAATATCCCAATATCTACTTTTTTGTAAATCTGATTTTTACTAGATGATATTAAAGATGAATATTGGTATAATTAAAATAAATAGTAATGTTTGTAATATTATATAGATATTTTATTTTATTTATTCCTGATATATAATTAAAAAGTGACATATTAATTTTTTATTATTTAATATATTTATTTTTTTGCAAATAAATAATTTGCATTATAAATATTAAAAATTGTACCAGATATGTTAGTAGGATAGATGCTTGGAGAACTTCTACCACAAATTGTTTCGGGGACAGCAGAATGATTATTTTTGGGGCTTCAGTTCAATTTTTTGCAAAGACAACAGAGCGGTTAGTATCAGAAGTAGCAGAGTGGTTAGTATCAGAGGCAGCAAAATGGTTAGTATCAGTGTCAGCAAAGCGGTTAATATTAGAGATAACAGCATCAGACCCATAATATATATCAGGGGCAACAGCAACAGACCCAGAATATGCATCAAGGAAAGCAGCACCAGATCCAGAATATGCATTGAGGGGCACCAGACCCAAAATATATTTCGGGGAGAGCAGCACCAAACCCAGAATATGTATCAGAGGCAGCAGCACCAGATCCAAAATATATATCAGAGCCACCAGCACTGGGAGAACTTAAACCAGGAGGACCGAGAGAAGCAGCAGGATTGTAGTTGTATGAAACACACCAACTGGGAGCCTCAGCTGGTGGTGTGGAATTATCTTCGATTTTATCACTTTCTTACTGATTTCTTTTTGGTTTATTGTGATTTTGTGCTAACGAAGTATCTTCGCATAGCAACAAAATCTGTCTTAACTAAAAAGTATATAAAGTATATTAGTACTGATATCTATATAGATATAGATTATTATAATAATTACTTTTTTCGATCACTATTCCTTCTTTATAACTTTTACAACATGGTTGTGTTGGTCATCATTGAGTTGCTGTTGAATCCCTCGCTTTCTTTCTTCTTCAGCAAGTTCATTATCTGTTTTGGATACTTTTTCACTATAGTATCCACTTTTACCGATTATTTTTTTAATATCGTTTAGAGCCTGTCGCTCTGAAATATCAGTAGGAAGAAGGTTTGCTAGCCATCTACTACTTGTTTGTTGCAGGTGGGCAAACCCCTTTTTCCTTTTGTTTATTTTCTGAAAAATATATTTAAGATTGTACCAATAGTCATATAGGCAGTATATTAATACAAAGAAAAAAATTCTTACCGCTATCATTCTTTGATTTTTTCTGTTTTTTTCACGATCCTGCTTGTCTTTTTCAGGATCTTGCTGTGTTAAATATTTTTTCCTCTGGTGCCGGTAGCGCTTCTTAATTATTTTTAATATTTGATTGTCATTTCGTGGTACCTTTAGACATCCCTTTTTATTATTTTAAATAAGTTCTGAATGAACTCTGCTTTAAAGTCTATCTAAAGTTTTTTTAGATCTGGTTGCATTGACTCCTCAAGTCCTTGGATGGAAATTATAATGTCATTCTATTATAATAAATTTAAAATAAATAAATAAATACATGAAATCTTCTGATATCTATATAAGCGAAAAACAATAAATCAAAATATATAAAACTCCTGATATCTATATAGATGATAAATTCAATAAAGCAAAATATATGAAAACATCTGATATTTTATTTGCTGTTGAAAATTGAAAGTAACCTTATATTTGTTATAAACTAAATAAATACAAATACTTTTGATTCTATACTCTTAGCAACTTTTTGTTTGCGGAGAAAGTTCCTGACAGCTTTTTTTAGAGGCTTTTCTAGTTTTTCTACCTCTTCTTTTGTGGTTGCTATCATTGTCGCTGTTGTTGCTGCTGTTGTTGCTGCTGTTGTTGTTGCTGCTATTGTTGTCACTATTGCTATCAAGTATGACTAAACAGGCCTTTTTTCTAAAAGATTTTTTGATTAAACTATCAATTTTATTTCCTAGTTTTTTTAGGTCATTTCATATTGCTTTTATTTCATCAACTATAAAAAAAAAAAAAAAAAAAAGTCAAAGCAACAAAAAAAAGCTTATGTAGACAATAAGCACGATTATGTGTAGAATCACACTTGATATGCATATGTGCTACAAATTTATATCCAATATGTAATCTAACAAGTTATTACTATTATTAGATGATTTTTCTTTTCTTTCTTCATTTTGAAAAGGCAAAGAAAAAGTGGAAAGGCTTGAGTGATTCATGTTAAATAATATTTCAGTAGTAATAATATTATCGACTATATTTAAAGTGATATAGTAAGTTTTTTTTATTTATAAGAAAAAATAAAGCAAACTATTTTTTTCTTTTAATTTTTTTTTTTATTACCTTCATGAAAAAGTAGAGAAGTGGAGAAAAACGTATTACACAAGTATTACAACTTTCTCTTATATAGACGTTGAAAAAAAATATAACACATCAAAACAAAGCGTGTAAATACATGTGTATAGGGAAAAACAATCTTCTGGGTTTAAATGTATAATATACTGAACACAAATCAAATAAATTGGATCCAGTAAATTATAAATTAAAACTCAGAAATGTTGGGGTATCATATAATTTTTTATGGGGTCTTAAATTGAAGCATTAACGTAATACTGCTATTAATATCGGGATTTAAATCGAATGGGTCCAGTATATTTATTTTATAATAATTTATTAGATATGTATCAGTATTGATCTAGAATTAATAATGCTAATATAGATATTGGGATACCCAACTTTCATCAAAATCTTATTACAAATTAGCATTCTAATATTTATATTATATATTAGATATCAATATCGGTATCAATACTTATAAGATAGACTAACTGATTTTACCTATTATTAGTATTATAATTTTTCTGGTTCTCCGTGAAAATAGATATTAAAAATCTATTAATCAATTAGAACACTATTATTCTTAATAAACCTGTTTGTAATTATATTAGCTATATTTATTGCATTTTAAAACTAATTTCAAATCTTTTTAGTTAATATTCGAAATAAATATCAGCATGTTGCCAGTGATCTCTGAAAATTGTACCTTTTAATTATTTTTGCTATTTCACATATACCAGTACATACATACGTATCAGTTTAGTTATAAGCATTTTATTACTCATTTTGTTAAATTGGCATTGTACAATAAGTTTATGTTAATCTTAAAAAGTTGTATTGCAATTTAATACTATTTTATTTTTAGTTTATTCTTTAAAGACTAATTACTGATACTCCTATTCTGATTTATGTGTAGTAAACAAACATTCCATGAGTTTCCATTCTTTAATTATACTAATAGTTTAAAAATGTTGCAAGAAACTTTTAAGAATGTGTTGTTAAAAGAAATTTTTAAATGACGTCTATTGACTTGTAGTTAAAAAAATGCAAGATGTAAAAGAGAATTTATTAAAATTTTCAATGAGATATCTTTGTATCCATCCTTGTTGTCACAGTTTTGGGCTTAATCACTATAAAAAAATTATAGTAATATAGCAAATAATAAAATATATTATAAAATTTTGTATTTAAAGGCTTATTGTCTGCCTTGCCTTCTGATATCTAATATCTAACTCTTAAAATACTTTAAAAATAAGTCATCAAATATTTATTAAATTACCTGCAGTAAAAACTCAAAAAAAAGTTATTTGCATGCAAAGGTGAAAAAGAACCCTGCGATCCTCGAACAAGAGATACCCATATTGCAAAATATAGAATGTATAAAGAATTAATAGGTTCTGCTGAACCTGGAGATGATTTCCCTTCTTCTACAGATCTTCAAACAGAAGGCAGTAATATATCTTAAACTAATATTTCTTCCTCTATTTTAATTGATCTTAGTCTTCATGAAGAATCATTTCTTCAAGAAGAATTATTTTTTGTAACTAAAAATGACAGAAAAAAAGCAAAAGCTAAAATTAGAGAAAAACCTAATATTTTTATAGTTATTAAGACTTTAAATATCTCCGATGATGATGATGAAGTTGCAAAAATAGAATCTGAAAGTGATGATAAGGAAACTATAATGGATTATTCTGCTCCCAATATTGAAAACAGAGATGAAGAAGAATTTGAACATATTGATAATCTTGACAATAGCTTTGGTTAGATATTAATCTGGATTCTAAGATATTAACAATGATATTGGTACCTGATACAGCAACAGAATCATTAGTTAAATTTATTCATTTTCTATTGACAGATTTTGACCAGGATCAGTTTAAAAACTTTCTTAAGTCACTCTATTTAGCCAGAAAGTTAATGGGTTTAGGTCTATGCATAAATAATTATACAACTTGTTCAGCAAACAAAAAAGCCTGGACAAATTCTGATATGTTTATATTGTACTTTTGTAGAATATTCTAATCACACAATGTCTAAAATGAGACAACCTTGTAATCAATAATTAGCAAAAGAGGTGTCTACAAAGGATGGAATATTGTTTTGTTCTTTGCTTACTTATTCAACAATAAATATTAAAGATCAGCTCACGTTATTATATAGCCAAAATGGATTTGAAAAATCATGCAGAAAATGTGTTAATAAAAATATAAATGATAATTATCTTGCTGATATTTATAATAGTAATATATGGAAGAATTTTAAAAATCAAGATGAAGATTTCTTTACATTAGAACATGCTGATATATATCTTGACCTTATGATTAATCTGGACTGGTTTAGTCCCTTCAAAAATTCTGTATATTCTACTAGTACAATATATGCAGTTATCTGTAATTTGCCTGTGAACTCAAATTCAAACCTTAAAATATAATTACCTTAGCATTATTACCAGGACCTAAGGAAGTTAAATCACATCATCTTAATCATTATCTTGTACCTTTGGTTGATCAATTGCTTGAATTGTGAAATGGAGTAGAAATTTCTACAAATGAATCTCCTAAGGGCAAAAAAATTAAATGCGCTATTATATGCTACTTATGTGATATTCCAGCAGCCAAAAAGTTATATAAACAAATATTGGCAAGAATTGCATATTTTCAATATAAAAAACATGCACAGTTTGATGCTAGACATCAATCTAATTTTGGTGAATTTTCAGATATAGATGACTGGTTTGTAGAGCGTGATATTGAGAAAATTAAAAAAGATGCATATACATAGAAACTGTGCAATACTGAGGATCAAAGAAAGAAACACCTTTCTAAAAACTTGATGAGATGGTCAGAACTCTACCATCTTCCTTATTTTAACCCAATCAAATATGTAATTGTAGACCCAATGCATTGTTTATTTTTGGGAATTGCAAAGTGAATTGTTATACAATTTTGGATAGAAGGTGGAAAATTAAGTACTGATAATTTGAAACTTATGGATAAAAGAGCAAAAAAATTACAACCTTCAACAGATATCGAGAGAATTCCTTATAAAATTGCTACAGGAGAAGGATTTTTTGGATATACTGCAGACCAATAGTGAATATTTATAATAATATATGCTACTACAATTATCTGGGATTTATTAACAGAACCAGACTGGCATATTCTTGCAAACTTCATTAGGGTATATAATCTATTAGTTTGTAAAATATTAGATAAAGAGATACTTAACGAAGCTCATCAAAGATTATTAAATGTAGCAATGTTAATAGAACAGAACTATAGTTCTGAAAAAATTACTCCTAATATCTATTTAAGTTTGCTTTTGTGTGAAAATTGTATGAATTATGGTCCATTGTATTCATTTTGGTGTTTTTTCTTTGAGCGTATAAATAAAATTTTAGATAAATATCAGGTGATTATATATAGTATTATATTATATAAAAATGCTTATTATTACATATAATTTATATTTTATAGGCTCATATAAAAGTAGCTATAGGAATATAGAACCAGAACTTTTGAGAATTATTCTTACAAATAAATGTTTGGATAAAATTGTATCACATACTGAAAATGATAACAGACTATTCAATTCTCTTACAATACTAAATCGGGTGGTAGTATGGCTATTCAAGATGAATTTAAATCACAAGATCTTCTTTAATTTTATAATTTAAGAAATATTATTAACCAGGGAGAAGCCTTTGGTTATGAATCATTTTCTGATATATTTCTCGATCCAAAATTAGAAAATGTCATATTACAACCTGATATTCATACCCTTTTAATTGAAAAATAAATTCAAATTCAAGTTTTATAAGTCATAATTATTATATAAATCATATAATACTGATGAAAACTATTTGCAGAAAAATGTTGCTCTAGCCTACTTATTATTTATTATTGTTATATATTTATTTATTTGTATTCATTGTTGCAAATGCTTATTTGTAATTATTTAGTTTCATCATTATATATAAAATTGTTATGCATAATTTGTTATATATATAATTGTTATATATATAATCATTATAAACAATTATATATAATTATTTATTTATTATTATTAAATATTTATTAGTAATTATTTACTTAGTTATAGCAGAAGTCTGTTTTGATTTTAACAACTAGTTTAGTATATTAGGAGTGTATTGAGTATGACCCAAACTTACTATTATAAATACAAAGCAAAATTTTAATAATATAATTAGAAATTTTGCTTTGCATTCTCAATACAAGAAGATACTTTATTTATATAAGCCTGAGTCATATTTGATATACTTCTAATACACTAAACTAGTTGTTAAAACCTTTACTTTTAGTTTTATATTATATATAAAATTATTATATATAATTTGTATATATATAATCATTATATATATAATTATTACATATATGATTATTATTATTATTTTTTTTTAGTATCTTTATTAGATCAAAGCTAATGTAAAATATTATATACTATCTAAGTTACAGATCTAACATTACTCGGCTTCCTCTATAGGTGCTCAAGTGCGGTTTGCCTCACTACTTAAGGCTATTGACCATACTAGAGGGCTGCATCAAGCTAGCTAGTGAAATCATAAAGAAATGGTTTCAAATCGAAAGAATTTTTGATTATCTTGAAATAGTAATTTTTTTTTTCTAAACTATCCTTCTTTTTCAAATAATATTCTAAAACTAATTTTCTGTTAATAAACAATTCTATCTTCTCTCTCAATAAAGAGTTATTTCTAGAATTTTTTCGTTTATATTTGTATTTCTTTTTACTTTTCTTCTAATTTAATCTGTTCTTTCCAATTAGAGCTTCGGTTCTCAGGAGTCTTCTTATAATAGTCTTCTTTTTTTGCTTCATGACATCATGGTATTCTTCTACTTCTTGAGAACTTCTTCTAATAGCCTTTTCTAGGTATATTCTTCTATAAGTTTTTTTTTCTTCAAAGTGTCTTGGGTCTTCCTTTGGTTTTTTTACTTCTAAGTCTTTGATGGTCTGCTCAGATACTTCTTCTTTCATGGTCTGGATTTGGAGGTATTTTTTTCCTCTTCTTTGTTCTTTTTTTTTTTTTTTCTTTTTAAACTTTGGTTCTCTTTTTAAAAAATTCTCTTAAATTTTGTTCCATATATTCGGTTTTCAAAGATTTCTACAAAGATCTTCTCTAATATTTTAAGTAATATAT